CGGGCACGGAGCTGAGCCTGGCAAAGCCGGGCAAGGGCTGAGCCTGGCAAAGCCGAACGCCGGGCTGAGCCTGGCAAAGCCGGGCAAGGGCTGAGCCTGGCAAAGCTGGGCACGGGGCTGAGCCTGGCAAAGCCGGGCACCGGGCTGAGCCTGGCACAGCCGGACACGGGGCTGAGCCTGGCAAAGCCGGACACCGGGCTGAGCCTGGCAAAACCGGGAACCGGGCTGAGCCTGGCAAAGCCGGGCACCGGGCTGAGCCTGGCAAAACCGGGAACCGGGCTGAGCCTGGCAAAGCCGGGCACCGGGCTGCGGCCTCGGGGCTGCTGCGGGGACGCTGCTGCGAGAAAGTGCTCATAACACGGAGCTGTACTGAGGACACAGCAGAGTCAGGAAATCCAGGTTTTTCTCCTACACTTGCATTAAGTTTTACTAGCCTGATTGTTATTACTGCAATTTCTGCCTCTCAAGAAGAAATTTGACTATTAATTCACAAGTGAATGTAAAGTGTTTTGAGATCACAGATAAGAGACTAGGAGGAGTGAAGAAGTGTTATCTCAGCCTTCAAAAAGCTTCGTTCAGCATTTGACTTTAGGTACTAGTTTCTGAGGTGATTTGACTATCCTTAGTCACCTCAGATTATTGCTCCACATTTTAATACCAGACACTAGTTATTTCCATACCACCATAGCATTTATTATGTGTGATCCTTTCTGCTGAACTAGTGAAACTCATATACCTGATTACAGTAATGATGGGCAGTTATAAAACTTGAATAAATAGAGCTGTCTGAAGATTTCTAATTGAGTTCTCTTAAAGGCTGCCTAGAACTCATCACGACCACATGCAGGGAGCCCGCCTTGTTTAATGTTTTCTTCTTTGGACTGACATTTTCAGATCTCTTAATTCTTCTTAGTCTCATCCTATTGTTTTCAGGGTGACCTTTGTTGCCCAGCCTCTTTAATTCTAGGCACAGATGTGCTATCCTTCCATACCATCCAGTTTTGGTATGCAGGGCAGAAAAAAAAAAAAAAAAAAAAAAAAGGAGGAACATAGCCAGGAAGGATAATGGAGATTGCTCTTCACTCCCTTCCCTGTTGGGCCAGAAGCTGCACTGACCATGGTGTGTGGGAGTGGAAGTGTGTGCCTGGAGAAACACAGGCTGTGTGGCTCTGGAATGGGGTGCAGGAGCAGGGCATGCTACAGGCAGGTTGTAACAGGCACTTTGGAGACTGGCTGTGATTCCACAAGCTGGTTTGACTGGTCCACACTGAGCTTTCCTCCAGCTTGATCTTGACTGCAGGTGAGTTTTCACTCCAGGAGCATCTTTTGTCGCTTTTCAATGTACATTATCACTAGTTCTCTCTTCCCTCACATTAGGTGTCCTGTCTATCCCATGTAAAATGTTATGTTTTTATTGCTTAAGAGGGTTACCTTACTGTGCAGGCCAGGTTTGGCTTTTGCACTGCATGTAGTGCTTGTGACATAAAGTGTATGCTGAGCACCATCACTGGGATCAGTAAGTGGTCCTGTATTGAATTTTCTATTTCAAAGTAGAGCTGGGATTCTCCCAAGGTCTTTCTTTCTCAGCTAGTTATTCCTTTTTAAATTTGGGCATTCTGCCTTATCTCCCAGTACCAGTTTCCTCTTGTGAAAAACTGTTGCTTTCTTCTACAAGCCACTTTCACATGTCTAGAGATGTGTCCTCCTGAGGGAACTTGGAAAAAGCTCAGGCTCTGAAGCTGGTGTGAAAACACTGTGAGTAGTGTGTGCACAGAGGCACCCCTGCCTCCAGTTTTTCTACAACACCTGGGACAGCTTTGAGCACCCCAATAGTTTAAATATTGTGTGAAAAAGGAGAAACACTCCTTGCATGCCAGTCTAAGCCTTCCCAGAAAGCCTGGTCACATTTGTATTATTACAATATACAAGAATTCCCTAATTCCTTCTTTTCTCGAAGCCCCTTCCCAACCAAATGTTTTGATTACCAAAGATTCAGAGACTTTTCCTGCACAGGGCAAACTCTGGAGCACTTCCAGCTAGCTTCCAGGGACTGAGCAGCAGGGCCCAGGGGATGTACTGTGTCCCTGCTGAGGCTCTGCAGCTCCCTGCACTGCTGTGCCTCCTTTTAAGAGGCCCACCAGAAGCTAGGACAGCTCTCTGGGAGGCTGCAGGGTTTTTCAGTTTTTGCAGCAGGAGAAGAAAGATAGGTAAGATTTTCTTTCTGAAGCAAGGAAGGGTCCTGGGAGGAAAAAATAAAAGAAGAGAGATCTCTAAAGGTATCTCCTTATTAGAGAAGAAAAAAAATCCTAAACCATGTTTTTCTGCTAATTTGGTCACTTGCCTGAACAGAGCAGTTTGGCCTTTCTGTGGGAGGCTCTCAGTTACCTTTATCCAGCCCCCCAAATCCTGCCTTACAAGTTTGCTATGGGCCACATCAGTGACAGCAACACCTTCCCTGAGCTCTCTGGAGCTAGTGTGTGTGGCTGCTGTCCCTGCCCATGGATGAGCCCGTGCCAGCAGGGATGCTGTTGGCACTGCTGCTCTGCAGGCCAGGGCTTGGGCCATGGGTCTCCTTGGGTTAATTTCCGGTAGCTCTCTGGCAATTTTACAGAGAAGGCAGTTTATCATCAGGTCTTGAAAATTATCATGCCATTTCTATCATCTCACCAATACTTTCTGGATTTTCATAGCAAATTTAACCTTAAAGTTTGATAAAGGGAATCCCAATAATTTGAAGTAGCTGTGGGATTTTATTTTTCATGTACCTAAATGCCCTGCTGGTAGTGTTTCTGATTGTTTTTCCCTACCTACAAATTTTATGCTGATTCACAAAAATCTGCACTTCTAAGTTAGCTTCTTTAGCTCCATTTCCTCAGGTTTGTGTTTCTAGTGGTTTTAATTTTACCTGACTTTCATTTGTTTAACCTTTGAATTATTACTCAGTCACTTGCAAAGCAGGCATCTTGTTTACCTGGCTAGCTCTGAGACCCCGTTTTTTTAGTTCACCTGTAGCACCTCTTGGCTCATTCTGGAGGAGGTTAAGCCAAAGGGCTACTTCTTTCTTTTACTAGAAATGCTTTTATCTCAGTGCGAGCAACCTGCACCAGCAGCCTGTGAGAGCCCTATCCAAACAAGATCTCAGAGAAGAGTTGTGACTGTACCTCTCCTCTGTCTTCCTTGCTGGAACAAGGTGGAGGAGAAGGAACTCAGATTTTCATCTGCAGAACTGATTGTGTTATGTGGGTCTTCCCCAGCAGGAAGACCTGACAGCAGAGAAAAGTGCCACGTTGATTTAACAACAACCTTGAAAAAAATGTTTCCAGCAATATAGAAAAATAGTATGGCCTTCTCAACTTCCAGCTATGTCAATATTCTGATGTTGGTCAGTTGGTGCATAAATAGGTACCATGTGTAAATCCCAGTGGAATTTCCTTTGCATTTAAGAAGTTAAATTATTTTCCCCATCAAGTAGTTAGGAGCATTTTAATTTACTCCTTTTCATGTTCCTGGCAACTTTGTAGAAGTGGGTCTATTAAATCAGGAGATCTTTGAAAGGGACACCAATAATCGAGTCAGTGCTCAATGAAACAAGGTTTTTCCCACAAATCATGACTGATATCTGTGTCATTAGTAGGGTAGCTGCCCATCTCTTATCATGATTGGCAGGTTAATAAGGGACCTGGGGCTATCTTTTCACTGCTAGCACACAACCTAACCAATTGCTTTTAAATGACTGCTAATTTGACAGAATATAAGCAGAATACGTAAAAATATCTGGAGTAATGTCTAATGCAGTTTTTAGTCCTGGTATTCTGAGTGCTCTCATTTTAGAAAACAGATTAGTATGTTAGTTAATAGATTTTAAATTTTTTTTGGACATTCAGGTTTTAAAGAAAATCTTGTAGTTGTTCTTTGGTTCAATTAGGACCAAAAGAGAAGGGAGTTTTGTAATGCAATTGTCCTGTAAAGGAAAATGTTTTAAATTGGGGAGATTATGTGAGCAGACCACCTGTAGGGCATTCATAGCTCTTTTCTATAATGCTCCAAGCTATGCCTTGCTGCCTGCAGTCTGGCTAACAATGCAGGGAAAAGCTGTTTAAAAGGCTGTTCTCCCTTTTCCCTCTGGTGTTCACTAACTGTTACAAGTCTTCCTCTTAAAATAAAAAAAAAAAAAGTCCCATGTCCCTTTAATTGAAGAACTTTAAGGCTCCATGGTGGCCAATTGGTCTGCAACAAGAGGAACCAGGCAGCAGGGAAAGAAACTTCAGACTATACATCACGTTTGGTGAAGAGAAAAGATCAAAGTTTTCCCAAACTCAAAAGAAACCAAGTTCCCTACAGATTAACCCTATTCATTTAGCTCCTCTTAAAGGAATGATGTTCTGAGCCACTGGGCAGACAGGTAAAAAGTTCAACAATTGCCAAAGCATTCTTCTGTTAATTCAACAGCCTTCTGCTCAAATAAATTAGCTTACTCCTGACAGTAGAACAATACCTTTTCTCTTGAAAAAGGACCATATTTGATATACAAAAGTTAAGATGTTAGTTTAATCTGTTAAGAAGAGATTGATCTAACAAATCTCAACTCACTGTTCCACCATAGTACATGAGCTATGAATTTAAAACATTAACCTTTTACACTTCAGTATGCATCCCAGGAAAGGCAGGTGCTTACAGAAGTGTAGACAACAGATAGGAGAGGCGGGTGTGCACATTCCTAAAATAACACCCGTTTTAAAAGGATACTTAACATGCCATGGGAGATGACTCTTTTGTAAAGGCTCAAAGACACCATCATCTTTCAAAAAAGGAAAGAAGTATGGTAAAGCACCTCACAGTTTTGGCAAACACTTTTTCAGAACAACTTGTTGAGTGACTTGTTTTCTTGTGTCTACAGAGGTAATGACTGGAGCATGAATGTAGTTCATAGTTTATGGAACTACCTAAAGATACAGCAGCTGGAATAACCAGGGCAGGAGGAGAGGAAAAGCTTGAAAAAGTCATTTATCAAAAGTCATTTTATTGACAAAATAGAATACTCATATTTGCTCTTACAGGGGTAGCCTCTAAATTTTTACAAAAAAATTTACAGACTGTATAGCTTTGGATATATACATATTTTACACATCTGTACAAGGTAACAAATAATTATATAAATACATCCTTTAATGTAGGAAACCCGTATTTAGCTGGGGTGTATAATTAAGACATTTTTTTGATTCAGTCAATATTGTAAGGCATTTGCCTGGTCATCCACATCCCAAAAACCTGCAGTCCCCAGCAGACTCCCACCTCAGGATGGGGAGGAAGACCCTCTCTCCCCACGAGTAAAGAGCTGCTGTTAGTCCAGAGTGATTCAGAAGCTGCTGTGCCTTGCCCTCTGCAAGACACGGGTGAGCCTCTACCCTCCTCTGCCAGCAAAATAATAAGCTGGCTCCTTGAAGTACATGCTCCCTGCATATGAATGGAGGGGAAGGAGGAGGGGGTTGGAGCCTGGGGCCTCTGCCAGCTGCATTGTTCTATACAAGCTGTGGCTAATAAGGACCATTAGGGGTTCATTAATGGCACCAAACAGTGAGGAGGCATTTTAGGCAGGCCAGTGTCCCTCATTCCCTAACCTTTGGCCTCTTTCCCCCTCCTCACACTTGAGACAGGGGCATCTGCTTGGGATAGGAGACAGAGCTGGCGGTGCCTGATCTCCACGTCAGGCCGGTGCTGACATCGCTGTAGAGTGAGCCACCACCTCCGGCCCCAAGTCCTCCTGCCGTGGTGATTACTGCCTGTCCACCTGCTCCTGCCCCTGCGCTCCCAGCCACGGCAGCGCCTTTGCTGGCCCAGCAGCAGCGAGTGCAGAGGGCCCTCCAGGATTCCAGAGTCTTGCCAGACCAGACCCAGACGCCAGAAGTGATGCCCACCACCAGGCACATGAAGTACTTGAGCATGAAGACGGCATAGTCAGGGCGGCGGGCCTGGTCGGGCTGCTGGTCACGCAGGCAGGGGCAGTTGTGCGTGGCCTCCCAGCGGGGCCGGTTGTGCTGCTCGTAGAAGAGGCAGGCGACCACGCTGGCAGCTGGCACGGTGTAGAGCACAGTGAAGAGTCCCAGGCGTATCATCAGCTTCTCCAGCTTGTGGGTCTTGGTGGGGCCACCCTGCTGCTTGATGACGCTGCGGATACGGAAGAGCGAGACGAAGCCAGCGAGCAGGAACATGGAGCCGATGGCCAAGTAGATGAGCAGAGGTGCCAGCACGAAGCCCCGTAAGTTCTCCAGGCTCTGGTTGCCCACGTAGCAGATGCCAGCCACGGGGTCCCCGTCCACAGAACTGAGCGCCAGCACAGCGATGGACTTGACGCTGGGGAGCAGCCAGGCGGCCAGGTGGAAATACTGCGCGTAGCCGGCGATGGCCTCGTTGCCCCACTTCATGCCTGCCGCCAGGAACCAGGTGAGGGACAGGATGACCCACCAGATGGAGCTGGCCATGCCGAAGAAGTAGACGAGCAGGAAGACCACGGTGCACAGCGCCGGGCCGGTGCTCTCGTACCGCACGTGCTCGGCCACCGCCAGCTCCGGCTGCAGCTCGGCCGCGCCGCCCGCCGCGGCTGCACGCCGCCTTCTCGTGCCCCGCCACCAGCCGCACCAGGTAGCCGAGGGACACGAAGAGGTAGCAGGCGGCCAGGAAGATGATGGGGCGCTCGGGGTACTTGAAGCGCTCCATGTCGATGAGGAAGGTGGAGACGGTGGCGAAGGTGGAGAGGAAGCAGAGCACGGACCAGAGCCCGATCCAGAAGGCGGTGAAGGCGCGCTCGTCGGGGCTGAAGTAGGGGTTGTGGCAGGGCAGGGCGCAGTTGGCGATCTGCCCCGTCTTGACGCGGTTGTAGAGCGGGTGCCGCTCGCTGGACACCGACACCATGGGCGCCCGGCACTGGCAGCCCGGTTCGCAGGGCGGCGGCGGCCGCGGCTTGCGCGGAGCCTCGGCCGGCGGGGCGGCGGCGGCGGGGGGCGCCTTGGCGGGGGGGCCGGGCTTGGAGCCGCGGAGCGGGGGCTTGGCGGGCGGCGGCGCGGCCGTGGTGAGGTCCGTGCGGTTGTAGTCCATGCAGAGCGTGTCCGGGCTGCCCTGCTCGGGGAGGCGGTCGCAGCGCATCCTGTCGGGCCAGGCGAAGCCGTACTGGCGCATGAGCGGGGCGCAGCCGGCCTTGGCCCGCTCGCAGACGCTGCGGCAGGGCGGCAGCGGCTTCTTGTAGTCCTCCAGGCAGATGGGGGTGTACATGCTGCAGAGGAAGAAGCGCAGGTCGCTGGAGCACTGGATCTCCACCAGCGGCCAGAACTGGTGCACCTCCAGCCCGGCCTCGTCCTGCGTGTCGTGGTTGAACTGGTTGGGCATGTAGGTGTAGTTGTAGCCGATGCCTTTGCAGAGGGGCACGGTGATCTCCTGGCACGACAGCTCCTTTGCCGAAGAGGAGGAGGAGGAGGACGCGGCGGCTGCGGCCGAGGCGGCGGCGCAGCCGGCGCGCTGCAGCAGGGACAGGGCGGCGAGCAGCGAGGTGATTTCCAACAGGTAACTCCACTCCATGCTCGGCGGCGCGCGGGCGGCGGCCCCGGCTCCTCTCCCGTCCCGCTCAGCAGCCGCGGGGAGCGCGGCGCCACAGCACCCCCCCGCCCCGGCTACCCCCGGGGGGGCGGAGGGCGGCCTCCTCCGTGCCGGTCGCAGGTGAGAGGTCTCGCAGCCCCCGCCGGACTCCGTCGTCCGCGGGCACCCGGTGAGGGGGAGCCCCCACTCGGCGCCGGAGGATGGGGGTCGGCTCACGGGAGGCCCCTCAGCCGCCGTCGCATCGCTCCCCGCGGGGTCTGTTTCGCAGGGGGAAGCGCAGCTCCTCTCGCCGCTGCTCCAGCGCCGGCCGGGCACGGGGCGGCGGCGGCAGAGAAGTTTCGCCGTCAGCCCCCGGGCGGCGCGGTGAAGAAGGCTGAGGCGTCCCGGGAACCAGGCGGTGCCGGGCTCCCACCGCCCCGAGCGGGCGGGCAGCGGCGGGGCCGGAGCTGGGGCGGCCGGAGCGGCTCCTTCTGCCGCCCTCCCGAGCGCACGGCTCCGCGGGTGACGGCCGGCCGGCCGGTCCTCGCCCTGCGCTGGGTCCCCCTCTGGCTGCTGGGCACCCCGGCCGCGATCGCGCCACCTGAGCCGCGGGTCGAGCGCGGCAGCGCCTCCGCCAACTTCTCGCTCTCCGGCCCCGGCAGCGGCGCTCCGGCCGCCGCGCTCTCATGAATATTTATAGCGAGCGCCGCCAGGCCCCGCCTCCGCCGCCTCGTCCGCCTATCAGCCGCGCTCGGGCGGGACGCGGGGGGCGGGCCCCGGGGCTCCTTAAGGTGGAGCCGGTGGCGGACTGTGGTGGCCGTGGTTGCTGCTGGGACGTGGCGGTGTTTGTTCGGTCCCTGCCCGTGCAGGAACGCGCGGCTCTGCACCGCGGGGCGCGGACTGCGGCAGCCACGCACCGGCCCGGGCTGCGCAGGGGACCTCCGTCCCCCTGCAGGGCCGAGTCACAGCCACCGCAGCAGCAGTTTAAGTAGCGCTCGGGGCTGTCTCGGAAGAGGTTTCCTATCACCTCGTTGCTGCCCGCGGGATTCGCCGCCCGTGCCGGTGTGCGCTGCCCCATGCCCTTGAAGGTGCTGGTGACGGGTGGGAGCGCGGCGAAGCCGGGGGTCCTGGCAGCGCCGCAGCCCACACCCGGCCCCGCCGCCCCGGCTGCCCGCGCCCCCGGCCCCATCGCGGAGCTCCGAACAACGCGCGGTGCAAGCGCAGCGCTGGAGGCTCTGCTGGGGATCGGGGCGTGTGAGGGGCGACACGGTGACTCCCGAGGCGCGGGCAGCCGCGGGTCACGGCGCTCGCCGGGGCGTGCTCAGGCGGTGCCGTGTGTACACCCGGCCGGGAGCTCCCGGTGGGACGGCGGGGAGCAGCCCCGCGCCCCGGCAGGTGGACACTCGGTTCCCAGCCGGGCGGATACACGCGGTAGCCCCGCAGCAGGCGCTGGGTGCACTCTACCCGCGGGACATGGGCCCGCAGCGCGGCCGCCGCCGGCCACTGACCCGCAGCCCAGGGGCAGCGCCGGGAGGCCGGTCCTGGCACGGCCGCGGCTCCCGAGCGCCCGCGCCAGCCCGGCGCCGCGGCGGTGACTCGCCGAGGAACCGCCTGCAGGCGCCCGGAGCGGCGTGTCCCGCCCGGGCCGGTAGAAGAGCCATCTGCGGCTGGATGGCCGCTCGGCCGCCGCCGTCCCGCGCCAGGGAACCCCCCCGCCCTCCGCTCCCGGGGGCCGCGGGGCGGCCGTGAGAGGAGTCGCTGCTTTTCTCCGCCCGCGGCGGAGAGGGGGCGGGCGGGAATTCCGCAGCCAGACCACCTTAAGGGGAGCGGCGGCGGCGGGCGCGGGCTGCGAGCGCGGCGGGGCCGTCCCGGGGGGTTGTCGCGCTCCCGGGACGGGGCGTTTGTTTGTTAATTGAGGCGCTGCTGCGCCTGGCGCTCGCGCGGCGCTCCCGCTGCGGCCCTAATGACTGGAACCGCGGGAACGCGGCGGGGCCCGTCTGCCGGCGGCGGGAATCGTGTGATTCGCGGGGAGTCACACGGAGAGAAGCGGGGCCGGGGGGGAGCGAGCCCGCCCCGGGGGGCGGTGCGGGGCGCTGGAGGAGGAAATGGAACGCGTGAGGCCAAACAAGGAACAATCCCCGGGTTGTTGGCTGAGCCAACAGGCTGCTGTCGCCGGGTCTGCCGCCGTGTGAGCGAACGCGCGGATTACCCCGTTAGGAGGAAATGGGCGATGATGGGGCGATAAACGCGCCCGCTGTGTAATCGCAGTTGATTTGCAATTGACCGAGCGCCGCTCCCACCGCAGCTCGCAGGGGACCGGGGAGCTCTCGCAGGCCTGGCCGCGCTCCTCCGGAGCTCTGGAATCGGTCCCGCTGTTACGCGCGCGGTGCTGTTTGTGACCACAGTCAGAACTTTTCCAAAAGTAGCAGGTGGTTATTTCAGCGCTAATTTAGTTAACTCCATTGTGAAAAGTGTTTCGAGATGAACAATGCCCGGTGAAGAAAACGTCTGGCACAGGACTCAGTGACGGATAGAGGTTTAAAAAGTCTCCAGTCCTGGATGCGATGCTCCATTTTAAAAAGTGACTTTTTTTTTGTTGGTGGCTGCTTGAAGCGCACCTTATTTAAAAATCTCTACAGAATGTAAAACTGAGTGAGTCTAGTCGGGGGAGCCGGGCGAGTCTGTAAATTACCGCTCTGTCAGGATTCCTCTTGCCTGTTACAAAGTACCTTTTTATGCTGAACTTAAACTTTACACTACAGAGACAGCAGATGTGAGGTGATGGCTTCCAAAAGCAACACAGATGCTGTAAAATTTCCATTGCTATATTTCAGCGAGCAAGCTCAGGAGACATGCTGAATGCTGCAGTTTAGAATTACACTGTAACTCTCCTAGAAATAAGAGAATACCAAGTTTCTCAACAGTACATTTGGCTTCATTTTTGCTGTCATTCATATGCTCTTGTTTTCTTGCAGTGAGAAGAAGAGATGCAGCACAAAGATACTGTGTGTCTTGAAGCTGTTCAGTAATGATAGAATTGGTAATATGGAACTTTATGGTAATTTAGTAATGACTGCATGTCCAAATTCCCTAGTAAGACCATGATAATTTTTAAAATTGTCTTTCAGGTATATAAAACAGCACAGCTGTGAGGAGGCTGCTTTGCTTTATGTGACTGAAAAGCAGCCTGGTTAGCTCAACACTGTGGAATCAGAGCCCATTGTGTGTTCCTCATACTTGGAGACTTCCCTGAAGTCCCTAGAAGTCCTGTGATGAAGGAATCAAGGGTCACATCTTTAAAATGGTTTGTGTATTTATTCCAGAAAATTCAGCAGCTGCTTTTTCTGAAAAGCTGAACTTTGCTATAGCAATGCAGAATACTTTAGAGCACTTTTTTCCCCTGGGATTTCAAAACAGATGTCCAGTCATCAAATCCTGCAGAAATATAAAGCTGGCAAGAATGTTACAGATATTATAACTTTTTACAAAGTTACAGATTTGACTTGCTGTCAAATCTAGTCACTTTCTGACTAGTCTTTGTCACTACAGATCTTTGTTGCCACAGATACTCATGCCTCTTTTAGTCAAACAATTAGGTTTGGCACTGGCCCCTCTAACATAAACGTAATTTTTCGGTGCATCTGAAGCTTTGCATTTGGGATTATATGGATCCCACCAAACCAGGTAATGGTAACTACAGGACATTTTAGTTCAAAATAATTAAATTTGCTGCCTTTTTTTTTTTTCTTTTCTTTTTACTGAAAGTAAAAATGCCACATGAAATCTTGGATTTAACATGCTATTTTGTTTATGTAAAAATAGAGATGTTTAGTTTATAAGATTCAAAAAAATTGCTTTTTAATTTGCCACTGAATGTTTTCCAGTAAATTTTAGTGTGGCATTGTCTGCATTGGATAGGTCACTGAATGGTGCTTTTATAAAAGTGTTTGAAAAGAAGAACTTGGTCCATGGAAATTGTTCAAATAATCTTGTTAGAATGAAGCCTTGACTGAAGGCAGTAATTTCATGGATTAAACCCAGAAGGGCTGGCTGGGCTGATCTCCTTCCTATCACAGGCCACAGAGCTTTGTGCAGAGACTGTCTAAGCAAATGCTGGTTAGCTGCAAGACATAGGGGATTTTGCATGGACAATACATTGAACAACACCATGAAACTGGAAACTGTGGAACTTTTTGAGGACAGGGTAAATAGGAGTTGGAAGAAAGAGTATTTTTACAGGCCATTTAGTAAACACGGTGAGGTAGAGTTGCATCTATGTTCAGATTTCCCCTAAAAATTTCCTATTAAAAATAAGGGAAACTGTTTCTTTCCCTAGTCTGTCCTTTTCTCTTACATGCCACATGTGGTCTGGAACTGAGTAACACGATGGCACATCCAAGTATGGGAAGGAATTGCCTGGTTTGTAGTTCTGCAAGTCCAAAAAGCACAAATGATGAACAAAAACCCAATGCTGTGAAACCTGAAGAGAAATAGGGGTAGGAGAATACAGTGTGCATCTCTGTCTTACAGTTTGATACTTTTCCTTTTACAAAAATAAAAAAATAAATAAATGGCATTCATACATCTTCTGAGTCAGCCTGTACTTTATTGTGATTCATGAGAACGTTTTGTAGGCAAGAACAATGTTCTGCTTACATTTTTTCAGGCATGTCGGATCTGATTGGGGATGGGCACAGTACCATGGTGGTGCTACTGTTATTCAGTGAGACACGAGAGAGACTTCAGGAAACAAGAAAATAGCCTGAAGACAATGTGCTGCAATAGCTACTCCTGGAGTGCAGTGAGCAGGTGACAGAGGAGAAGGAGAAACTTCTGGAAGAGTACTTTGGTGTCACTTTGTCCAAAAGGATGATCACAAAGGGATTGGTCAGTGCTGTGGTCTGAGTATTGCTCTGACAGTGAAGCTGCAAATTGTGGCCCTGAATGTGGCTGGAGGATTTTCTGCTGAGTTTGGGAGTAGACCATGTTTAGATTTCTTCCTGAG